ATCTCATACAATTCTAGATATGGACTAGCTGCTTTAACCATTGAGCTATACAGCAGTTTAAGTAGGGACGATTGATTTGAAATCATTAGAAAAAATGTTGTCCCTCCGAGGTAGGGGGTGTCCCCTTTCGGCTGGCAAGGACACAAAATCTCTCAAAACATGAAAACTCACAAAGATTATATAGGAAATTAAAACATAAAAAGACCTGTACCTTTGTGTATATTTATTTCGTATAAAAAGCAGCAAACAGAAATCTTTGTTCCCATTTATAAACCAAAATTGTAATTGTTATTTTAATTTGTTTTTGCTGTAAAACATTTTTTAATTCAATATAATTGTCAAGTTTTATATAAAAATGTTTCTAAAAAGTAATGTATTTAATTCTTATTTTTATCACTTAAAGGTGGGGTAGGTAATTTTGGAGAAACCAGCTCGAGATCGCTAGAATTTGAAAACACAGCTGGAAAAAATCTTCCACTTCCTTACAGAGCCCCTCCTCCAACACACACGAACGCGCACATGACCAATGAGGGCACGAGATAAGTTTGTGCACAGATGGAAAGCTGACAGGCAGGTAGGCCATCCAGTTATTTTAGCCGGGCCGGCTAAAATGATTGGTCGTGCTTTTTACAGTACTACGGCTTCCACAGATGACATTTTTTTATGTATTTTTTGTCAAAGCACTTAAGATATTCATTGCTATCGGGATGTTAAGAGCATTCCATGGAATATAACAAAAAGTGTATCTCGAGCCGGTTTCTCAAACTTATCTACCCCACCTTTAATTTTTTTTGTTTTAGTAAAACCTTTTTTCATATTTTCATATGTGTTTTCATATTTTCATATTAAATATCTTTATATATTATTTTTCAAGTTCGTTTTTATGATTGTATTATGTATTATATATACATATATATTTTTTTATTATCTAACGTTTAATTAAAAAAAATGTGTTCCTTATTATTCTTTTATTTGATTATTTACATATTATTTGAATAGTATTATTATTATTATTATTATTATTGTTTGAGTGGGTTTGAGGAGTTGACAAAAGCTAATCCAAAATATGATATTATATTGAAATATATATTCAGCAAAAATGTGTCCTTGCTTACCCTCTCAACCACTCAGTGCATCTGTTACCGCATGATATGTCAATGCTGCACTATCAATATGTTTGGTGGTGTCCCCTAATGTTGCTGCATTACTGTTGAGAATGCACTGCACTATGCGCATGTGTCTCTGTGTTCGTGTCAGAGTGAATTCCAGTTGTAGATCGGCCTCCAGAGAGCCTGTCAACACATCCCAAACGGTGAGCTGCATCTGTGACAGAGCGCTCAATGGTACTGACAGCGACCTCTCCTCCATCATACCTATTCAGAACAAAGGTAAAGGGAGTCTTTTTTTACATCCAACTCTCTGTCTTTATTCGCACACATGGTTGCAGATGTTGTACTCTTTGTATTTCTTCTATTTCTTCCATGTAAGTAGTGAGCAGCCCAGAGGAGGTGCTGGTTCCCGCTCTTCCAGTAACAGCTTTTGTAGAGAAAGGGTACATCACCCCACAACAAGTGTACAACCTGCTGAGTGCAGAGGAAGGCCAGCCTGCTTTGTATGATCCTTACTATATTCTCACCCTGGACTGTCGCAGCACAGAGAGGTGAGTGTGCTCTATCATATACTATACTGATTTTAAAACAGAGTAGACTGGCCTCAAAAGTTACCAGCTTTTTATAAACCCATCAATTTCAACTTCACAAAGAGAGCATTGATTTTAGGACTGATGAAGTTTATTTGTTTGGACTGTAATAGTTGTAAACCCATTGAAGATAATCCATAAATGTCTACCATAATCCATTCCATACATATATCATCTGAAGACATGTATATCTATTTGTGGTGTGTAAAGTCATATCTACAAAAAAGTAATAGACCTCTGAACCACCAATGTGTTTTTAAAACAATGAATGCCCAACTATAGGTCATGCTGTGATGTGATTTTGAGTGAATTTGTATCTTTATGCACACAACGAGCACACAGGACATGACATAAGTAAAAAGTAAATAAATGCAGCATAAATACAGGAATAAATACAGTAATACAAAAATAAAAGAATAAATAAATGTGGGAAAAAAACTGAAATAAATAAATGTTGAAATAAATACAGTAATAAATAAATCTATGAGAATAAAACAGAACACACATTATTATATATATTTAATGTATGTAGCATGTCTTTCTAATGTTATAATGTAAAGTAATAGTAAGATGTTAATGGCTCTGTGTGTGATTTTGGCTCAAGGGGGTAAATGGATGTCTTCCAACCAGAGGGCCAGTGGTTCAACTCCCAGCATGCTCTGTTGTTTTGTTATTTTACCTCACTGAGCTGCCGGGGAGGAACTATTGCAAGTTCTTTCAAAAATAATAGCTCTCGCAAACTCTCGTAAAAACGTTTGTCAGTGGTTCAAATCCCCAAAATGTGAGAGGCAAAATGGCAAACTTGTGTTTTTTTGGAACATTTGTAAAACATGTACTGTCAGGTGTACAGGTGGGCAGGTAATTGTGGTGTAAAAAACTGAAAGAAAAACAGAAGTCCAGTTTTTTCTAAATGACTTATTCAGGAAACCTGGAAAAATGTATGGTTACTTCCGGCGATGAGTTCAAACAAATGTTCTTTAACAATATATTTGCGTCGCCTTGTAACTACAGTACAGAAGAAAAAAAAATACAAATAAAAAAAAATAATGACATAATAATAACAAAAATAGATAAAATACTTGAAAAATAAGATATTTAACATGAAAAAAAAGTTAAACTAAACAAATGAAGTGATAAATATAAGAATTAAATACATTACTTTTTTAAAACATTTTTATATAAAACTTGAAAAAAATATTGAATATAAATAAATGTGCAACAATGTAGTTTTTTTCACATTTACAATTCTCTTCAGTAAATGCGGACAAAGAATTCTGTTTGCTGCTTTAAGAAAGAAACATACACAAAGGTACAGGACTTTTTGTGTTTTCATTTCCTTTATTATTTTTGTGAGTTTTGATGTTTTTAAAAATATAGCGTCCTTGCCAGCCTAAAGGGGACACTCCCCACCGAGGGAGGAAGAAAAAAAAAGTAATGTGATCAAGTCATTTCAAATCAATCCTGCCAGCTCAAGCCGCTGTATAGCTCAGTGGTTAATGCAGGCAGTCCATATCTGGATCTCTGTGGGACGTGGGTTGTCTGAATAAATATAATGTATAATAAATACTTAATAATAAGGACCTGTGCTTTCTATCTGAAGGAGGAACAAATGGGCTCGGGCCTACAGAATAGGAAATTAAAAAATAAATAAAGTTGCAGGTATATTTTTGTACACACTATAATTAAATGTGTTTGTTAGGTATGAAGACAGCCACATGGTGACAGCGAGGGCCGCTGTGACGGTGATCCACCCTGTGCTCGGCTGTCTCATCAGCTGTATCGAGCTGCAGAAGTATTCTGTAATCCTGCTGTATGCAGAGGATGGGTGCAGCCCAGGTCAGTTTACCATTCAGACTACAGACTACCAACACTCAGGCTTTTGCTGAATTGTCTTGTACTAACTTCTTTCATTTAGCACCATCATTAGGTCGAAATGTAAATGTTTCCAATGCTTTCTTTCATTCCAAATAACTGTAAAACTATTATTATTCTTGTCAGCTTTGTCCTAATGAGCTAATGTTACTATGATAACACCATTAATCGTACATGGGGATCATAGTAAACATTGTTTCTGCTAAATGTTAGCATTGCCATTTGAACTGCAAGAGACTCTTCAAGCCTGGATAGGAGTATTTCCCCCACAAGTTTAAAAATAACCTTGCTTTTCCATCAAACCCCCACACTGTGCTATGCTTCGAATACAACAATAATAAAATGTTTCATTTCATGACCTATGTATGACTCATTCTAATATATTTCCTGTTATGACATTTTGCTTTGATAGAATGTTTATATCAATAAAATGTATTTTTAGCGTTTAACATAAGAAAGGTTTCTTCAATTTTATTCCAGGTTTCCTTATCTAAATTGAAAAGTTCTGATACTCTGAGGAATGCAGTCTGTTCAACAGTATGCACGTGGAAAGGTTGCCAAAATAAATGGACATCCTAATGGATACACAAAAAAAACATAATGTTGAGCCTGTTTGTCATTTTGTTGGTCTTTATTTCACAGTGCGGGGTAAATTCTAGGGAGGGAGAGCAGCAGTTTAGCTGGAGAATTGAGTGTATGATGTACAGTTAAGTTTTTATTTGTTCCATTTTAACATAACAGCTTGGTTTAAAAGCCCCATTGCAATGTCATTGAGATTGTTCTGCATATATTGTTCTCTCTCCCTCCCTCCCTCCCACACACACACACACACACACACACACACACACACACACACACACACACACACACACACACACACACACACACACACACACACACACACACACACACACACACACACACACACACACACACACACACACACACACACACACACACACACACACACCTCCTCCCTGTTGAACTGGTTGAACTCAGTTGCATAGGCGACAGCAGGAATTCTCTCCCTCCAGTCACACTTTTTTTGGTCGGTCGGAAGACATATTCTGGAATGTGGAGAAAGAGGCAGAGACTGCAGGTGAAAATGCTGAAAAGGAGCTTTAGCCAAGTAAAAAAATGCCAAATTAAATATAACATCAGTTTGGATGGGGTACTGAACCTAGGCTACACATGCTTAGTCAAATATTTATGTCAATGAAACTACAATTGCACATTTTTAATTGGTGGACAATATAGCATGGACCACACAACAACAACAAAATCACATATCATTGTTGCAGCACCATTTCAACATCTGGCAGGGGTGACGTTTGCTAGTACACATTCTCTCTTCTTTTTTTACATTTATACCCCAAATACTCATCCATGACTGTCTCACCACGGGCTAAGACACCTCCCATAGCAACGCCAGCCCCCAAAGTCTGGTCGTAGGAGACTTTATGCATGTGAGAATCTGCACGTAGCATTCAGACTTCTAGTGATCCCGTCCTTACACACCAGCAGATGTTCATTTTGTCCCCGTTACCTGCACTGTGGCCGGTTGGAGTCGAGACTTCACAGGACGCAAGAGCCGGGATTGCACATATTTCTGCTACAGGATGCTCTCGTTTAGGTAAATATTGACTTCTGAATCAGATAAGATAGCAAGAGCAATTCACATTCAGAGCCTTTTTAGGTAACGTTAGCTGTCATATCACCCTGCAGATTTGAACTGTCCGTTTTCTATTGTTTTTCACTTGGGACCGTTGAACATTCTAGAACGTTAAAGTTAGGTTAGCTTGCCTAGCTAGCTAAAAAACTAGCTAACCTGGACGAAACTTTAATATGTGTAATGGTTCTCGACAGCAGCGTATACTATACAAAAACTGCATTGGGTTGAAGGGAGTCATATTTGCAAAATTCAGTTGAAAAGGTTAATGTTAACAAATAGCCAGTTAAGTAAACGGTGCCTGAATTTTCCTATGAAACTCAGTCAATGTTATGGCATTCCAGTGCAATGCAGCGTGGGATGCTGCTTCCTTCGCTCTGCTCTATATTATCATACGTATTTCCATACATTAGCAGCATATTATACAAGGATTTATTTGTTTATGCATTCTGCATGGTCTGCCATATTGCACACTTCAGTGAGCCTATGGTATTAGGCTATTTGGGGACACGAACGAACGTTCACTGCAAACTGTTTTTACGTCACATTCGTGTGGGAACCGTTAACGTTAACTATCTTAATTAGTTTAGGAGTCAACAAATGGCATCTGCGGTCCTTAAGAAATGAAAAGACCCCCTGCTGTCAGCAACTTTATAGGGGTGACTGAGGGGTTATTCCTGGTGAAACCAGCCAGACTCCATTGAGAAGTGTTGGGTCCACTCATGAGTTTCCCTCGGCGGGGAGGGGCGAAGACGTGGCAGTCCTCTTCCATCCACATCCTGTGTTATCTGACTCCCCTGCCTCACTCCCAGCTAAACTTCGAAAATATACTTCAGCTAAAGGAAATGTAACTGCGAGAAAGATATTAAAATACAGTGCAGACCAAGAGAACAAGGTTACTTTTGTTCAAAAATGTAGTGACTGCAGTGAGGCACAATTATATAATCTTTTTTGGGGATTAACACTTTTTCTGCGATTTATTATCACTTTATTGTAAAATATTGTCTTGATAGACCATACATTAAACATGTTATGGAAATGGGTATTTTTGGGGTATTTACTTTGTTAAAAGTAATTCTTAGCAAAGTTGGAAGTTACTAAAGAGACAGGAAAATTAGTCAATTGAAAACTCCACGAATGCAATAAAACTAATTATTTATCAGTGTTTTCTGAGGGTAGATGCTTCCTTGCAAGTGAGAGCACTGGTAAACATCCACCTTCCCCACAATTAGCACAAGTTTGGTAAAGAAAAGCATCTTCTAACAAACATGTCTGAACAGAATGCAGCCCAATTTACAGGTCAGAAGTCAGAAAACTAAAACTTTAAAGCAAATGTTATGCAAAGTAGTTTTCTCAAACAGGTTTGAAGAAATGGCCTCACGTGTGTCTGGCAGGTTAAATGTTAAATTGCCATCAGGAATGTTTTGGTGTTCTGGCATTTCACGTACAAGCATGTTTGCATACAAAAACTCTCACTACCACTTACTCTGGTGTGTGGCATGCTGCGTGGATCTAAATGATAACTGTTATACTTGCAGCTTTAATCTTGACTTTTCACTTCTACAATATTATACCAGTAGAGACACAAGAGCTGTGAGCCTGTCATTACAATAATTATATTCTTTAGAGTTTGTATCCTGTCAGAGGCACACTAATGGTATCTTGGACTGAGTGGGGCCAAATATTCTTGAATTACAGTAGGAGCATTTAGAGATAATGATAACTTTCATTTTACCTTGAAGTTTCTAAATATTCTTTGGTTTAAACAAATGTAACTCTGCTTGAATATATTGAATATGCAGAGCTCTGACACTTATATGTCTGCCTCTCTGTTGCCTGCTGCTGACCTTAATTCAAATGTCATATGAAGTAATTATTTTTATTTCCACTGAAGACTTGTCCATGTGGCAAAGTCAGAACCTGCCTGAGCCTGTTGTCTGCCTCCAGCGAAGGGCTTTAGAAATCAGCATAGACGCACGACCGATTTCATGCATGACCTTTACTTTGCCACCAGGTGAACAGTTTCTAAATGTGTGGACATGAAGATACATGTGAGGGTTTATTTTTGAGAAAGTGTGTTTGTAAAGAATATTGACAGGTGGGTGCTATTATTTTACCTTTTTATATTTCAGCTTTTTTGTTTATCCTTTCTTTAAAACATCTATTTCATCATGCCGTTTTCAGCTATTATTAGTCAAGAAATATTGTGGAAATTAAACTAGTGTAAATGTCCTGTAATACTTTTTACCTATCAAAGTTTCATAGAGTTATTTAACATGAGCAACTGACTAAACAATGTACCAACAACATTATGTTTTAGGAAGAGTAAGTTAATTGGCTAAGAATCAAGGATACAATTGTGTGAATCCAGGGATTTGTTCAAAGTGAAATTCTCATACATGTATCCCATGATGTCTAGAAATCCAGATGGAAGTTTAAAGAAAGTAAATCATGTATTTTAGTGCAATAAATAAAGATGACATTGTCCTAGCAGCTCCTCTGCTGCTGCCAAGTTTTCACTTCATCATGTAAACAATTGCATACTGAGGATGCAGTGTGTACACATTGACACCTGCCTGCTCATTTATTCCTGTCAGTCAGCCTGTGCTCTCTTCTCATTTCTGTCTGTATGGATAGAGAGATCCCAGCACCACTATTCAAAGGCCAGCATCCCAGTATGGCTATGTCATCACAACAGACAAACCGGACACAGTGACACCAACCACAGACTTATATTTGGCTTTGTGTGGTGGTTGGGAGGCTGCACTTCTAAACAGATTTAATTCTTGAATTCTTTTTTTTAATTTCTTTTTTTCACTTTTATTGTCATTACGTAGTACAGGTACTATGTAACAAAATGGTTTCTCTGCATTTGACCCATACTAGTGTTAGGAGCAGTGAGCTGCCATTATGAACGGCGCCCGGGGAGCAGTGTAGGGAACGGTGCCTTGCTCAGGGACACCTCGGTAGCACTTGGTCTTGCCAAGGAGATTCTTCAAGTTTTCATCACTCGTTTTCTCTCTTAACATAAATAAATTTTTTCTCTGTAAGCTAAATGGTCAGTACAGCCAATTCACAAGTAACATTTCAAATACTCTCCCAACTTACCCACTAATACTTGCACATAGTTTTTCCCCAGGTTTTGAGATAGCTGCTGCTGAGACTTCTACTCGCTCAACAGCTTGCCAGAAATAATACCCAGTTACTATGGACAATCCCCAGACCTTGATGTCATCAGTTTCCTTTGGGAACATTTATGAAAAGTGTCTGTGGATTGTCCGCTCTTAAATGGTGCTAACAACAAGGTTTTCAATTCAGTAGGAGCAGCACTGGAGGGAGTAAAGGGAAGCATCAATATGATACATCGTGGAGGTTGAAAATAGTTTCTCTGGTATTGATAGTGACTAACTTATTTCTGGTATTGTGACATCCCTAGTATGAAGTGGTACTTGGGTAATTTGGTTTGGTACATTAATAATACAGTCCATTCTGCCATTCACCTTTTTGATATTATTGTTTTAATATGCATGATTCAATATTCAAGTTAATCTATTTAACAATGTATCTCATTCTCTCATTGCTTCTCCAGGATGGAGCTGCCATGTTTGTGTCTATTGTTGCTAAACTGTCTGCAGTCGCTCTCAGCCGGCAATGACTTCTACACCTCAATAGGTAAAAACATCAAGCAATATATGTTCCTTATTTAAGAAAAATTCTCCCTTTGCTGACTTTTGTTGCATCTCACATATGGACTCGAGATTTCACGACATTGGGATGAGATGAGTGATGCCCTTTGTTATGAATCATTGCAGTAATGATGGTGAAGTATCTCTCATTTGTTTTCTTCAGGCCAGATGACAGATCTGTTATACACAGAAAAAGACCTCGTCACCTCCCTAAAGGACTACATCAGAGCAGAGGAGACCAAGCTTGAGAAGATTAAAGTGTTAGTTTTTGGAAACTTGTCTCAGTGTTTCTGAATATTAAGATATTATTGCTTCTGGATTCATATGTAAGCAATGCATCTAACTGTGTATTACCATCTTTGTGATAGGTGGGCTGATAAGATGGAATCACTGTCAGCCGCAGCCACACTGGACCCCGAGGGCTACCTGGGAAACCCGGTCAATGCCTTCAAACTGATGAAGAGGCTGAACACAGAGTGGGCGGAGCTGGAGAGCCTGGTGCTCAGTGACACCACTGACGGTATGGATAAAGCAGACCTGTTTCAAATAATGATAAGTGCCAAAAGTTTAGAAAACCAAGAAAAGGTAACTAACAGAAAAGACTATTTTCCAATACTTTTTGATGTTGATTTGATCCAGGGATTTCTATACATTTGTAGAGATTGGGTAATCTTGGAACTCCCTAATTAGTGCAGCAACATTTATAGAGAGTGCAAAGTTGTTTTAAATTCCAAAACAACTATATGCTTGCTTAGATTCATACGTATATTCATACTTGTTATATTGAAGGAGAAATCGGATGCCTTGCTCAGTCACCCTAACATGAGTTATTGAGGTAGAATATAACTCATACATGTTGGTCACATGTCTTGATCGAACTTTAATTCTCCCACTCAAGATCAAAGTCACTCTGATTGAAGAGAGAGTATTAATGGTCCACTTGACTGATTGTAAGTTATCCTATAAATAATCCTACTATTAATTTATCTGGGTTTCTCATGTCTTTCTCTCTCAGGATTTGTTTCCAACCTGACCATCCAGAGACAGTACTTCCCCACAGATGAGGACCAGACTGGGGCAGCTAAAGCTCTCCTCAGGTTACAGGACACTTACAGACTTACTGCCAACACCATCGCTACAGGAGACCTACCTGGTAAGGGCTTTGAATCTGCATACCACACCAACCTGATAAAAGCTCCAAAGCAGGAAGCATACAATTAACAGACTAAAGTGCGATGAAAGTCACAGTAAACACCTTCTTGTTGTTTCCTTGTGTCCTCTGCATGCTAGGAGCGAAGCACAAGACTTTTATGACAGTGGAGGACTGTTATGAGCTGGGGAAGATCGCCTACTCCGATGTGGATTACTACCACACCGAGCTGTGGATGTCCCAGGCTCTGAAACAGCTTGAACATGGAGAGGAGTCCAATATAGATAAGGTGACAGTGCTCGACTACCTCAGCTACTCCATCTACCAGCAGGGGGAGATAGATCGAGCCCTGGATTACACCAAGCAGCTCCTAAAACTGGGTGAGTCAATGGGTGACTCAATGAAGTATTTTTCCAACTTTCAAAAGTATTCTGGGAGGCATGTTTTGCAATGTGTATGGATTCTAAAATGTCTGCTCAAGATATGTTGTGTTTATAGGATCAAACAGGAAATAATGCACTTTTTTTCACAAACATGCACAGACACCAGACTTTATTTTGGTTTAGATAAGATTGTAAAGATGCGGAAATAGCCTTAATTTTACCGAGCACACAGCATCATATTATGAAAAAAGGAAAGCACATATTTTTTTTTATCCAAATAGCTAGAATGAAGTCATTATGGTACATTTTGAAAATGACGTTGAAAGCGACAGCATATGAATCTTGAACTTATTTACATACGAAGCAGAAGAACATTTCCAAACCACATGCATATCAGTCTAAGCCATATTATCCATGCTACTGCGAGTTTGTGACATTCCCCCCCCGATATAATATATATTTTTTAATCACCTACAGTCAGATATTGGTCTCATTTTGGTTGCTTGTAGATTTGTCATGAAACAAAATGGTCTTCTGTCCAGAGAATTCAGAGATCTAGATTACAATTCTTCTTAGAAATGAACTGTTCCATTTGTTTAATTGTATGTATTTATAGTAGGGCTGTGCGATTATGGCAAAAATCATAATCACAATTATTTTGGTCAATAATTGATATCACGATTATTAAAAATGATTATCCATTTACTTTGAAAACATCCATTTATTGAAAAAAAAAAAGTGAACTGTATGTTTTTAACAGTTGATTACCCTGAACGTTAAGTATAATTCAACTGAAAAACCAATAAAAAAATAAATAATAATAATTAAAAAAATGTAAAAAAAGATTACGTTGTTTTCTTAATAGTTGCAAGCCAAAATCGTAATCGAGATTAAAATACGATTAATGCACAGCCCTAATTTATAGTAATGACGCTGAATAATACTTTATTATAGAATAGTATATAATATTGAACTCTCTAACCTGCATCCGACTAGACCACACCATTGTTATCTTTCCAGTTTGAACATCTTGTTTCTGAGAAGTGGATAAGGTCAGACTGAATAAATAGCATGTAATTATGACGTGTTGGAAACTCAGTTATTTTGATTGCAGGGCTGTTATATTCTCAGGTGACAGGTGCTGCAGTCCTCACTATTTGTACACACCACCATTATTTCTGTTGGTCTGTCATTTTTAGACTCAGAGCATCAGCGCGCCAATGGCAACCTGAAGTACTTTGAGTTCCAGTTGGAGAAGCAGAGAAAGGCTGATGAGGCTGAAGGGAAGAAACCAGGTAAAAAGGAAACAACCGAAAAGAAAGAGAAGAGCAAGAAGGTCTCGAATCGTCAGGTCCCAGAGAGGAAGAAGTACGAGATGCTTTGTCGTGGGGAGGGCATCAAAATGGTGAGGGAAACAAAAAGATACACAAAAACACATTTTCTAAGTAAATAAATACACATCAGTTAAATGTCCTTTTTTTTCTTCTGTTAACCAGACCCCCCGCAGGCAGAGCCGGCTGTTCTGTCGTTACTATGACAACAATCACAACCCCAAATATGTGTTGGCTCCTGTCAAACAGCAAGATGAGTGGGACCGCCCCTACATTGTCCGCTACCTCGACATCCTCTCCGAAACAGAAATCGAGAAGGTCAAGCAACTGGCGAAGCCAAGAGTAAGCATTTTTCTGTAGATCAAGTGCTCCAATGATGCCATATGATGTATGTATAAAAACGTAACTTAACAGTTCCACGTGACATAATAGGATCATTCATTTAGGGCTGGGTGGTATGAAGAAAATCACATCATGATGTTTTTGACCAAATACCTTAATATCGATATTGTAGGGTTGACCATTGAAGCTTTCACAAAATATTTACACAATGTCAATTTTGATAGAAAAATCATCGGTTAAAGGCATACATTAGAAAGGCTAGTCTTTTCAAACAGTCTGATAAGTTAAGAACATTCATCACTTTACTATATTGCTGACACTTACAATATCATGATATCTTAAATCTACGACAATATCTAGTCTTATATCACAATATCGATATTATATCAATATATTGCCCAGCCCTACTTTCATTAGTGTGTTGTCATGATATTCGAGTTTCTAACTTTTTCACCATACCTTTAAAAATAATTGGTATTCAATATATTCTTTTTGAAATTACATGGGAAAATTGACACAACATTAAGGGAAATACATTGAGTTTTTTATTAAAAGATAAATATAACAAGGTTGAAAAACCGATAATTCTGACAACACTAGTTGAGCGTGTTTAGGAGTGGGATATCAAGGCTGTGAGGCTCGTTAGGCAAGCACACAGGCACACATCTTTGCATGTGTGTCTGTGTGTGGGTAAATCATGTCCCTGGCTTCACAGCTGCGCAGGGCCACCATCTCCAACCCCATCACAGGCGTGCTGGAGACAGCGCCATACCGGATCAGCAAAAGGTAAGGAATAGTTAGGAGCCGCCAACAGCAGAGGATATAGGAGAGAGCTGAGAGGGAGAAAGAGAGATTTCTTCTCCTCCTTCTCCTTCAAAAACTCACCCCATTTCTCCTCTGTACCGTCCGTCTGCATCCCTCCATTTCTCCGCCCTTCCAAACCTTGAAGGCTCTTGAGCTGACTCAAACAATCCAGCTGATAATGATCAAAGCTTTACAACAAAAAGAACCATTGGTGGACTTGTATTGGTCAATACATTTAAATATATTATTTTCTGCTGCTTTAACCAGTGAAACAGAAATTAAAGAACGTTTTTTCTTTTGTAGCTAATGGATTTATATTTTTTGGGGGAGAATGAAAGTGTTTGAGTCTTCCACAGAAAGGGGAAAATTATTTTTATTTTTCTGCTAGCTGATATTAACATAGTGGCTTTTTTTAGCCAGGAGGTGAATTGAGGCACTCATTGATAACCTACTGATACACTTTCTTACTTTGCAATTGAATTTGGTTTTGAACATTGCCTCATGGATCACTCTCTTGGCTCTTCTAAAGAATAACATCAACAAGTAGTGATCACATCTGCCTTTCTTTTCTCTCTATCTCTCTTTCCTCCTTTTACTTCTCTTGTGGGTATCACATTCCATCATCCTCTTTTCTTTCCTTTATTTATCTGCGTTACCTCGACCTCCGTGTCCTTGTGCGGCTGGAACTACTGTAGTTAAGGCGAGCCACGGTGCATGACCCCCTTACTGGGACACTAACCACGGCCCAGTACAGAGTCTCCAAGAGGTAAGGGGTAACAGGTGACCAGGAGAGCTCGAGGAGATACTTCCTTATCCTCCGTTCTTTTCTTTGTCTTAATCTCTGAAATGGAAGAAAATGTTAAGCTACACCTAAAAAACACTAGAGGAAGTTTTCATTTTGTTTAAAGTGGACCTATCATGCTATATTATAATAATATAGTGTAGGACCATACCTATATAAGGCATATTTATACTTTTTTTTTTTTCAAAATACCAAACAGATCATGCATTTTAGCCATGCCTCATTTTGCTCAATTTGACATTTTTTAGATCTGTTTTAGCAAGGGCTGATTCAGTGAGCAACAGCACCATCTAGAGGCCTGGCATATGTACTACAACGTCTCCAGCGCTTTCGAATGGCAATGCCGTGGTTGTCTCCTCCTGATTGGTGGAGTTGGCCCAATAGCCGTAGCGCCACCGTCCTGACGTCAGGACAGTGTTCAAATCTGGATCAGTTTTTATCAGATCCGTTGCAGCCCCTTTTTTAGAGATTTGGGTATGGAGGAAAATAGAGAGGGTTGTGTTTTCTGACACTTGGTGAGTTCCCTGGAACACCGGGGACACATATTCATGTATAAAAGACGTACAAAAGTGCATTTTGCATGATAGGTCCCCTTTAACAGATGTCTGCAAGAACATTGAGCTTACAAATAGATAAACAAAAATAAACAATTCTCAGTTGTTTTTAGGTGTAGTTGAATATTCGTTGTTCCTACCAGTTAACCCAGTCATTGGGGGATTTTTATGGACAGTTGTGACAGATAGTTTTACTTTCCCCCGACTCGGTTATTTGGAATCTCTATTCCCCATTGCTCTTTCCAGTAATTCATCTGTAACCATTCTTGTATGAGCTTAATTCAGCTGCTATGGTTTACTATGCTTCTGCAACTAACATAAGCAAAAGAGATTTAAACACTTCTAAGCCTGAGTCTGGACGCAAAAGCTTAAAAACACAGATAAATGTATGCTGCATAATGTACAAAGAGAGATTGTTACTGATGTTAGAAAAAATGCCGCCCTGTGTATGAATGACTGTTCCACTTCAATAGATACATTGCCTGTTGGACCCACCCTTAAAAATACCAGGCCAGCAATAAACCTACATTTATTTGGTTTTACAGTTCTTGATAATTAAAGTATCGGTGCGTGTGTACGTGGGTTTAAGGGTGTGGTGTCCCTTTGATGTTTTTGTATGAGTACATGTTAGCCAGCATGCATTTCCAAATTCAGCGAGGAATCATTCAACAGGTTTCCGAGTGTTCACCTCGCTTCATTATATGGATACATGCGTCTAGGATAACTCTCCAGTTCAGTTTGTTAAAGTGATACAGAGAACAGAAAAACAGGCGAAAGAACTCAGAAGACTTTGACCGCTCAATGAACTTGTCCAACACATCAGGCAAAAATGTATTGGCTCACATTTGGTCCAGCATCCCTTCAAAAATATGAGTTATTAGCAACACAACCTCTTGATAAAAAAGCTGACTCATCTCACTGCTTTTCTCATACACACACATATCTTAGGGTTGATGTGCTGTAATTCTCGGGAACACGTCCATAAAACAGGGCGGTAGGAATAATCTCATAGGCTTTTTCTTCAGAAAAATCCCCTAAATTTGAGATGTTTCAACTCTGTCTTTCACATCATCAGTAACTTCATATAAATTGTATCTTTCATTTTTTTATAATGTGTAATGTGAAAGGATTTTTATTAGAAACTGTGGCTTCTAATTTATCGTCAGAAGAAATGCCAGTGTGAATGTTAAGATGTGGTCTGCAGAACTATAGATGAGTCATTTTTTCATATTTCACAATAAAGTTCAGTAGCTTGGTCAAAAGCGTATTATATCGGAGTCTACTCTTAGACTGGTGTGCATGAGTGAGTATGAAAGGCCGGTTGTGTTAAGTTAAACCCATGATAATATTTAGCCGCAGTCCTGTACCAGGCACATTCCCAAGTACTCACACAGTTTAAAACACCCTGTACCCTGAGCTGATTGAAGATTCTGAAACTCTGGCCAGCTTTCTCTATTTCATATTCTTCAAATCTCTATTTCCCCTTTTCTATCATGTGATGTATTGCCTAACTTTACTTTCCAAGCTTTTCATGGCAACTTTTCAGCATGACATATCTTGCAGCTGCCTATTTCAAAAGAAACCTTCACTACCATCTAGTGGACAGATATGTGCCTCACTGACATACTGTATAGCACGTCCGCCTGCTTTCTCAGTCATTCTGTTTCCTTTCTGTATTCCAGCGCTTGGCTCACTGGCTATGAAGATCCAATGATTGACGTGATCAACCAGAGAATTGAAGATCTCACCGGACTGGAAATGGACACTGCAGAAGAGCTGCAGGTAAAGAGTTAGCTGAAGGACATTGAGCACAGTTTTTTTTCCTTGAATTTCTATCCTTTTTCTAAATGCAAGACCTTACTGAATCCACAAAGTTCTTATATAGAGGTAACATATCATTTTACTATCAACCTTCCCATACTGTTTGTGTTTTTTAGTTTATTAGAATCCTCATTTGTAGCTGTGTGACTTAATTCATATGTTTGATTGTTCTTTAGGTTGCAAACTATGGCGTTGGAGGTCAATACGAACCACACTTTGACTTTGGAAGGGTAAGGAAACCTTTGTAATTAACACAAGTACATTTTCTATAGATGTACAGTAAGGTTTAAATGGCAGGACATTAAATGTGACGTTGACTTTCTCCACAGAAAGATGAGCCAGATGCCTTTAAGGAGCTCGGAACTGGCAACCGCATAGCAACATGGCTCTTCTATGTGAGTAAATTCAATGGTTTTGAACTTTAGATTGAACTTCCACTAAGCTGTTTTAAATGTTTGACAGAAATACTGGTGTTTGAATCTTCTCTACGGAGCGGTCTCATACTTGCCAATGAAATGTGAGAATGAAGCTCAACATAACTTTTCCTCTTTGGTTTTGCTCAGTGTGACAGCCTGGTATTATACATTTAGGTCGATCCCTAGTCTCTGATTGTGGGCTTAATCTTTGCTGTCACAAAAGTTACATCTGAGTTAAAACAGGACTTGCTATGCTGATTCAATGAGAATGATGTTACATTTGCTGTAAAAATGATTAATGGGAGAAAACTGTATTGTATTGTATTTTCTTCAAACAGTTCCACAGACTATTTTCCACTACTATTTGTATTGTTTGATTTGAGAGACTGAACTATTCCTCTCTCGGTCTCTGTTGTAGATGAGTGATGTAGCATCAGGTGGAGCCACAGTATTCCCAGATGTTGGTGCAGCAGTTTGGCCCAAAAAGGTAACCGCTAATGTTCCACTACTACTTTACACAAATATATAACTGACTCAGTAGCTGTATCTGAGTTGGTCATATTATAAAGCCAACAAATCCCCAGGTGTTTTGTTTGTTTTGCATTATAGTACACAACTAATATATAAATTAATAACACAATAAAGTTGTACAAAATAGTGTGAAAGTTGTTTTTGCTTCCAAGTAAGGACACGTACCAATTAGTTAGCATCTTTTATATGCTTTTTCTATTACACACAACACAGTCTTATAAGGGCTACCTTTACATGCAAAACAAGATCATGTACTATATGAAATTGTTTATTTGTTCATTAAAGTCATTGAATACAAATGTTTAGTCCACATACACATTTGTAATTTCCCCTGTCAAAAATGTGTGGGAATGATTTCAGGAACCTGAGGCTACATTTTGACTTCCAGGCTATCCCTGAAGGGTTTGAAGCCTTGCTAACCTGTGTTGCCTGCTGTTTGTGTGTAGGGCTCGGCAGTGTTCTGGTATAATCTGTTCCCCAGCGGGGAGGGAGACTACAGGACCCGACATGCAGCCTGTCCAGTGCTGGTGGGCAACAAGTGGGGTAAGCTCCTCTTTTTCCAATTCCTTATAAAACCATCAGTAAGACACAAGTAAATATATCTTAAATCTGAAGGGTTAACAGCTGTACTGTTTCCATCGACTGCACCCAGTGGGGTTAGAGTAACCCGCTAGAAAATGGTGTTATAGCTGAACTGGACCTGTTCAAGAATGAATAAGGAAAGATAGATAATGTCAATTGTTATTATCTTTTTATTTTGTCTTTAGTTTCAAACAAATGGATCCATGAACGAGGCCAGGAATGGCGGCGACCTTGTTCCCTAAAGGAATCTGACTGATGAAAAAGGAAAACCTCTTCACCTCCCTGGCCCTTTCTCTCCTTCCTTGTGAACAGCCCAGGAACAAAGAACACCGCTGCAGATCACAGATGATGCGAATGGATACACGGTGTTCAAATGTCTCACTCCCTCTCTACAAGCACTCCCTTTTTTCCCCAGCTGTTGTGCTCTGAGCCCAGAGATTGTTTGGGTTGATGTCTAGACCCTTGCACAGTATTAGCAACGCTGTGACAGATAACTTCAGATTGTTGGATGGTTTGGAGAAACACTTGCGCCATTTTTACTCCCATGTGTCTGTATTTGCACTCTGCATGAACTCTAGTTCTGTGGTGAGATTATCGTTCAGTAGTGACTGCAGGGAGCAGCCTATTCCCTGGCAGTTAGAACCTTAAAAGTACAGATCACATTTTTAACAGGCCTGTCTGATTCATTTCATTACTTTTTATTCATTAACAGAGTTAATGAATAAAGTAATTTATTGTAAAACTACATGCACCATCTTTAAAACAGTTTTATATTTTTCTCAAACAGGCGTATTATTCAGAGGGATTGCAAAAGCATATCGTAGTTTAACTTAAATATTCTCTTTTCTAGTTTTAAACGCAGTCTCCTCCTCCAATAACTTTAATTTCGTAATTACAATTAGTGTTCTGCGGAACAAATGATATGACACACAGCACATAGCAAAATGGTCACTCCAAAAAATATATAAATACATTTCAGGGTAGTTTTGTAGGTTGAAAGAAACACTTTATTTCCTGTAAGTCATGTAACTTATCAGAATTGATTTAAATTGTATGGCTGCATCTATGTTGACATATCACATACCTTGTTGGTCTGCCTCAGAGCCTAGTTTTAGATATTTTTTGTAAGTCATTTGCATCGTCACACCAAGAGATATTTTTAGATTTGGTGAACTTAACACCTGGACACAGACAAAGTAATGTAAATCTCAATGCTGCATGAATTTTGTATTTGATCATCCTGATTGTCCCGGTGTTGTGTAAGCAACAACCAATCATTGAATAATAAGAGCAACAATATTTTGGAAAAAGAAGAGTGGGCTGGATACACCGCATTGTGCCATGACGGGTTCACATATCCAGTTTTTTTTATAGAGTGAATGATTCTGCTAGATTTTTAACAGTGTCCATTGCTTTTCAGTGTGAGAATATATGAGTTTTCCAAGGAAGAAACATTTTATTTATATGTCTCAGCCAATTGTGTGTTGTCTCATAGGAAAGTCTGACATTGTTTTTTTTTCTACAATAAAGACTGTTATATATTGATCTTAAGTACATGAACTTTCCTGCTGCTGTTTGAATGGGTGGGTGGTGGGGATTTTGGGGGAAGGTATGAAAGGCATCACGTGACTGTCCAGTACTAAAGATACTGTCGCTTGTGCATCTGTGGCAACCAGGGCCAGACGTCTGTCAGGTCGGGAGGACAAGGGCAAGAGTGTGTGAGAGAGAAAGCAGCAGCTCAGAGAGAAGAAAGTCAGGGAACTATTCTGTCCTCAGAATTACAGTTAATCCAGCTCCGGAGGAACAGCAAGTATGATGACGATGACTCAGATGGAGACCACGGTGCACTATGATAACGGCTACGACGAATATCAATACATGAACCAGGAGGATGAGTGGGACAGGGACAATCTACTGGACCCTGCCTGGGAACAACAGCAGAGGAAAGTAGGTCAAAGAGAACAATCTGTTTAAAAAATAATACATGAATCCTATCTGTTATGAATGGAAAAGAGATAAAACTATTCATGCTAATAAATTACTCAAAATTAACCACATTACAAGAGTGTATTGAATTTCCAGCAGTTGATTTTCACATACTTTTCCAGGTATTTGGGTATACATTGTCGGACAACATAGTTTCAAAACCGCTCTGTTTGAGACTTACTTGCGGCAAGCAGACCTTGGTAAATAAATGTACATCCTGCTAAGAGTTTCAAAAATAAAATACCCGATGTTGAACCTAACATTTTCAGAAGTGTTTTTTTGATTAAACGTAGCGCGAATAAAATAGATTATATGTTTGTCATACCGTAGAGGCAAAGTTATTGTAGTATTTATCTTCTATTTTGTCCTAGTTGTGTGTGTACGTGCAACGTTACGTGGCAAAAGGCGCTAACAGAAGACACTCATATAAGCTAATGTCAATGTAAGGTTAAAACCGTTAAAATAACAACCACTTTCAATTGTTTAAATGTTACCATCCTTGACACTACTTAACCCCGTATTAAAGTAGACATTTTAACAATGAAGCAACGGCATCAACTTTTGCAAGTCTTCCAACATATAAGGTTAGTCTTAGTTATCTCTGACAGACTATACGTGTGTACAACGTGTGTATAACGTGCGTGTACTTCACATACTCGGTAATTGGCGCAGGCAATATTGCAAAATAAATTGCGAAATGCAGTAATTTTAAGGAAGGAATTATGTTTTTTGTTAACTTTCACCCAAGAACCGGAATTTTCACGTGACGTTTTAGTATGAAGGACAGCATTAGGTAACTTCCTGTGTGGTTCTAGTTACGTGCTGCTGATTAGACGCAGCCGGGGTTGCATGCAAGGAGGGCGGCTTGACGGACGGATGCGGCGGGTACCAGGCTGCTAACAATAGCCTCCAGCGGCTCTCCAGACTGCTGCCTCTCCACTGATACGCGCGGAATGCGAGCTGTCAACAGATGCTTCGAACACATGATGACGCTCTTGGGATTAGAATGGACGCTGCATCTAATTTTAACCTCGGGACCAAAAGGCATTATAGTAGGGTTAATCCAGTGTCCTTGGTGCGGAATTCTTTTGTTTATAGAAACCACGCAGAAATAATGTACCAGCTCAACTCAATATAGCCTCGGCCTCCCACACTGTCAGTTGGGCATAGGGCTTTAAAAGTTGGCCTTAAACTGCAGCTCTTCGCACAACTGGAGGCCATCAGCTCCATGCCCATAACCTCCTGTGGCCCCCACAGGGATGACAAAACTGTATTTTTGGTAACACAAGGCAGCAACAGGTCCCTTGTATATATACATAACAATCTTTCCAGTGTTTATATTTTACTTATCATAATTTGGAGTTGCTTAGTGGAGAGTGGTTTAGTTCTTGGAACAGCTGTTCACACTAATCAGAACTCATAAAGCACCAGTGATGGTTGCATACAGCAACATTGGTATAGTGTTTTTTTATTATGATGGGAGGTGATAAAGGTGTTCTTTGTCTGACTAGTTTGTTATAAACCCCTGCTTGACACTATTGTTGCCACAAGGCTTATGTTTGCTTCATTAGGGGCCACTATTAGTCGCCTTAAATATTTTATCTAATCCAATCTCTGGTGCAGTGGCCTTATTTCAAATCCTACTTTCAGATGAGGTAGCTTCTTTTCGTTGGATATTAATGAGACCTTTTTGAATCTTTTAGTTGACTCCGACAGATATAACCTCAGTTAACATTAATGTTTCAGAGTCTTTGTCTTTTAAACATGTTAAACAGCCGCTTCTCATGTATTTTCCATCCTCCTGGACATGGCATGCCAGCCTATGACCTAGTGAGGCCCCAAAGGCATCAGCCAGTTCAGTGACAGGGTTGGTCCTCGCTGAATGTGATTCATAAATATATTTAGCCTTAATCGTCATTGGTCTCTTGTGTTGAAGAGTGAGGTAGGGGGCTTGGAAAGTGAGCAGCAGGGGTCTGTGACTGAGTCAAATTTGGAGAACCGGCAGGCCACGTTTTTTAACAAGGAGGGCAGCAGTTCAATGTCACACTCACCCTGGGGACTCACTCAGAATGTGATGGCCTTTACTCCAAAGCCTGTAATATTATGTTCTTGCACTGGCACCCAAAGAAAAAGCGGCTGGCTGGTTCCCCCATAAACTCATGTGTTCATGAGATCTTTAAAACTTGCAGTTGGAACATGTGCTAAAATATCTAAAAGTAATGTCAAATGACGTTATCAATTTATTAGAAATAATTATTAACTGATAAAAGCATTTGACAAATTTGCTCTTTTGCTCTTGTATTCTCAAAGGCTAAGAATACACATTTATTGTACTATTTGCTCAAAACAGCCCAAACAAAGTGCCAAAAGAATAATATATATGTATTTAAATATAATCATCAGACTTCACAACCACTGATATTAAAAGTACTCAAAAAAGCTCCAGGACAAATAGATATGTGTTTTGGTGACATTGGAGATTAAAAGAGCACAATATCAAGTCTGGCACTGAGCTTACATAACAGACAATTTAAGTACCAAATATTTAATATAATATACTAAATACGAAAATGTAATTACTGATAGTAGCTTAAGATTTTCTTTCTATTGTGGCAAAAGTTTTTTTTTTTTTAAACAATGAAAGATCTATACATCCTTCCTTCTGGTATACCCTTACATTTATTTTTTCTTTAATAAACAATTGTTTATAATGCCGTCATCCTTAATCCACGCCTGCCTGTCTTCATGCCTTAGCGTTGTAATGAGTGAGACCTGGAATAACAGCATACTGTGATAAAGCGATCACCCTGCAGCTGTAACCAATCACATTCTAAGTGGCAAACTAATGACAGAAAGTGATGTGAGGCGAAAAAACTCTGTATCCACGTGACATTTTCACTTATGTTGACACAGCGAGACATTTTTACGTTTTTCCCTCCCGGTCTCTTATCGTGAGGCACAGCAGAGCGGTCTAAATTTAACACCTTGTATCGGTCGGAATGTGCTCTGTGGTCGGCTCGCAGCTTTCATCCGAGCAGTGTTGAGCGTCTGTGAACTCTGTGGCTCGCTATTGACAGACTTTTTAAAAATAGGAGAAGAAAGACAATGATCCTGTCTTAACTTGATTTACAGTATTTTAGTACCCCACCTGGAGTACATTTGGTTGTTAGCTTTGGAACTAGAAGAAGAAAAATCTGAAATTGGACACTAATGGGTCACTGAAGGTTAATCCATAAATTTAGCAGTGGACAAAGAGGTTAACATTGATTTTGTACATAGTCTAGTAGTGACGACTTGTTAAGCTGTTAGCTGCCTCACTTTGTTTAGGTCTGTTGCAGACAGAAATATACAGTGGTGGACGAAGTACTCAGATATTCTACTGAAGTAAAAGTAGCAATACTGCACTGTAACAATACTCTGTTACAAGTAAAAGTCTGGAATTTAAAGTCATACTCAAGTAAAAGTGTTGGTTCAAAATATACTTAAAATACCACATGGCTTATCAAAATCATGTACATTATATTTCTGGATAACGATTTTCAATGCATGAATACGTACATTAGATGTGTAAATCAGTTTATTGTTAAGTCATTTATTATTTTATTTTGTATTTAATACTCAAGTTAAGTACAAATACAGCAACCTTTTAGAGTACCAGTGCAATACATGAGTTCATAAACTTAGTGACATTGCACTGGGAATGTCATGTAATAAATGTTTAAAGTTATTGTTCAAATAGCTTTTAATACCGCTACTCTTTTTTTAATAAATATTCTTATTTCTCCTCCCCCTTTTTCTCCTGTAATGCAAGGAAGTGCAGAGATGTTATGCACATAATACTTTTTACGTTTGCATGATGACTTTCATAAAATCCTCTTTGAATTGACTGCTCTCTCTTCCTTGTTAGACCTTCACAGCCTGGTGTAACTCTCACCTGAGGAAAGCTGGAACTCAAATTGAAAATATTGAGGAGGACTTCAGGAATGGACTAAAACTCATGCTGCTTCTGGAAGTTATCTCAGGTGAGATCACTAAAGGACAATGTTTATTTTATAACATCATATTTTAATTATCTTGACTTTAATTTGATAATATTGTTTCAGTTTGAGCATTCAAAGTTACATGGAAAACTGGATCCATCATAAATGTTTTTATTTGTAGGAGAGAGGTTACCCAAGCCAGACAGAGGGAAGATGCGGTTTCATAAGATTGCTAACGTCAACAAAGCGTTGGAATACATCACGAGCAAAGGAGTGAAACTGGTCTCCATTGGTGCTGAAGGTAATCCTTCCTGTTTAATGAATATACTACAGCTGCCCAACATGGTCTCACAAACATAGATGTTAGAGTGATAATCAAAATGTTAATATTTACTCAAGTGAAATCTGATTTTGTTTGCCTTTCAGAGATTGTTGACGGTAATGTAAAGATGACTCTTGGAATGATCTGGACTATCATCCTCCGCTTCGCCATCCAGGACATTAATGTGGAAGGTGAAATGATAAAATCCTAAATAATCAGAGTCTAGTTATTGTTCTATAGACAATGTTTCACTGAGCG